CGGCTCCGCTCCCGGGCCCGCCGGGCACGGAGGGCGGCCGCGAGCCCGGCCGGGCTCCGCGCGGGGACCGGCGCCTCCGCTCCCATTCACCCCGCGCCTGTTGCTTTTGCTCCCGAATTTCTCCAGCTGGCGGAAGAACTGAGTGTTGTGGAGAAAGTTTCACTATCTAATGCAATTGCGAGAGGGAAGGAATATGCGACTGAACGAGGGGACCATTGATAGATTTTGCTTTCAAGTGAAAACATCTTTGCTGCCAGAGCCTGACAAAATAAGGGATAAAAAGCTGAGGATGCTCTCCAGGCTCCTCGCTCCCATTGGCAGCATCTCAGTGGGAAACGCACAATGTCTCATCAGCCGTATCCTAAATTATCCCTTCTGCTTCCAGCAAGGGAAACACGGGAGATTTTTGCTCTGTTTCTGTTTTCATGAGAAAACATCAGGAGCCATTTATTAAGTGCGACATTGCCTGATCAGGTGGGAAGAATCGGTTCTTGCCCCTTTCGGTAAATAGAAATAACTGCGTGTCTTCCAAGTTTCTCGCGGGGCTCCGGGGGGCTCCGGGGTGCAGGAGCGTCGCAGCGGGTGCCCAGGGGCTGCTCCGTGCGGCAGGGAGCCGCGGGCGCCTCGCGCGCCGCCTCCTCCGCCAGATTTGTTTGCACTGTTTGCTCTGCTCATAAGTACCTAAGGAAAACAGTGTATTTGTTCCACAGATGCTGACATTTGCTAAAGTCAGAATGAGCCAAATTGTTTTATTTTGTGTCCTAGTTCCTCTAAATATCATCAACAGGCTAATGATCTTTTAACTAGATCTTTTTAAATTACATGTGGCAATTAGTTAAAATTAGAAGTATGTGTCTTGCTAACTATGCGCTCGCATGGCTTCACGTGCCTCTATTTCCTGCTCCGTTTTAAGCGCCTCGCCAGCTGCTCCGTGTTCCCTGCCCGGGCTGGAAGCGCGGCCGGCAGCCCCAGGCTCCGTGTGCGCCGCACGAGGGAGCTTCTCTTGGCACTGCAGTAAATTAGTCACCCCTTTTTCTTTCTCTTTTTCTCTTTAAACTTAGGTCGTGCAGCTCCAGATTACAAACCCAATCCTCTCTCCCTCAGTTTTGTGTCTCTGTTTTTGGGGTGGGCCGGAGCTCCTGGGCTGTGAGGAAGTCTCTCTTGAGGGTCAAGTGGGACAGATTTAATGCCACCATGAGTATGTGTTGGAGGAAGTTTCCTTGAGCAGCTGCGTCTCTGCCATGGACATCTCTTTCCCATTCTGTAGCTATTTATAATGTCCCCACATACGCTGCCAGCATGGAAGGACTCCATTTTACCCTTAAAAATTGATTTTAAAATGTGTAAGTCACTTATGAGTTTCCAGCGCTTCATTAGAACAATTATATGTGAAGTATTTATAGTGCCTCTGCAGCTAATGTGGGTAACCTGGAACGCGCAGCCAAAGTAGGAGCAGGGAAGAGGTTTCTAGTGAGATTCCCTGGAGAAACGCGGGAGACGAGGACCCGGCAGCGGCATCACCCACCGTCCTGCCGCGACGACCGGGGCCGCGGCCGTAACGGGAATGGAAAGCACAGAGGACCGTTCACCAGCAGGGAGATTAGGAACAGCACGCGCTATCTTGGCCTCTGGATTATTTGCCTACCTATATTTGATAATTAAGAAATGAAATGGCTCTCGTTTTCCTTTCCTAGTCCTGTTTCCAGCTGCGGGTTTCATAGGAGCGGGAGGCGCCGGCACCGCGGCAGCCCCCGCGCTCCCGGAGCTCCCCGGAGCCGCGCGGGGAGGTCTGGGCTCGCTCCCCTCCCAGGGAAACGGCAGCGGTGCCGGCTCCACAGCTGTCAGTCTGGCGCTATTAATGCAATAAATTCACTCTTTAGGGGCAGAGAAAAACTAATGCGCAGTATTATTGAACCATCCTTTATAGTAAAATATTGCGGGATACTGGCTCCAGCGCCACGTATACAAGAAAAGTGTCTCTTTGGGATAAGCATCACTATGGATTATTATATGTTTCATAATTACAAAACCTCTTACGGCAGCAGTAAGATGCTTGCACGAGGGATTTCAATTGTCCTTTGGACAGTAAAATTGCCTAGCAAGAAGTCCACATTAAGGTGATGAATGTTAATGTGCGCCGAACAGGAAGGCACTTCTGTGAACAGTTTAGTCATTTTCACCACAGATTGATTCCATCATTTTTTATTCAGTATTTTGATGGCCTGTTGAAATCAATAATGCTGTAGCCTTACTGCAATGGCAGCTCTCATATAATTAAAAAATTTGAGAATAAAATCGCATAGAAGGATACCATGCAGAGGAAATAATTAGGCTTTGAGGGCCTGAGACATGGAATCAATGGGAGTCTTTCCATTGATAAATTAACTTTTCAGAGGGGCCCTAATGCATCTTATATGATAATGGTTCCCTTCTCCAGATAATTGTATGGAAGAGTTAGAAAAATGTTAGGGAAGTGAAGGAAAATACAAATTAAAACAAAAGTTAAATATTGTCAGACATCTGACCAAACTCCAAGAAGAACAAAAAAAATCCTGGCTAGATCAGGACCACAGTAATCGCTCAAATTTCCAGAGAGCAAGTTGAATGTCTGGGGATCTGGACAACTTGAGCTATTTTTCATTTTAAAATGAAGAGTGCGGTGAACTTATTTCACTTCAGCCTAACAACCCGTCAACCATCAGGTCGAAGGACCCCTGCTAGGGAATAGGCAGCTAGGGAATAACGGGCTCTGTTCCTGCTGGAATGAGGCTCTCCAAGCTCGGAGCTCCCGCGTTCCGTGCGCTGGGTCCTCAGCGCAGCTCGATGCAGCTCCTGCGCATCTCCTGCAACAGCCACAGACACTCGCACTCTGATCCAAGCGGCTGCTGCTCCGATATTCCCAGCAATGTTCTCCCGAAAGCCAGAATTTTCCTCTGCTCCATTATAGGGACGCAATATTTCACAACAGTAAAACCTGTCTTCAAATCCAGAAGCCCAGGAAAAAACCTGCTGCCTAGCCCAGGTCTTTAATTAAAGCTCGAGGAAAGCTAATGAAAACCAGAGAAGCTTTTAATGTGTTTCTTCTAACTGACATTGTTCTGGGTGCAAAATTCAATGCATTTTTTAGAACTGGAAACCCAGCCAGGCAGTTAGGGCTTTTTGCTACATACCATCTTCCCAGCTGATCCGCAAGGTGGTTTCACTGGAGCTCCTGGCTCTTTCTTGACAGCTGTAGTTAAACTGATGAGCACATGAGGCTTACACCTGGGGAATCATGGATTAGTCTTGTTTGTAAGGAAGCAAATATAAATTAGTGTGTTTATGCTACTTTTAAAATGCTTTTAATGAGGAATCATTTGCTATTCAAAATTCCTATCTATAATAATGCCATAACCTTGCTGAGCTCGTTATCAGGTGCCTTGTTTAACATCATTCTTCAACGGGAGACGAGCGCGCGGCGCTTGTTTGAAGTTCCGCTGTGCATACTGATCTATCAACCTGTAACGCAACGGGGCAGGACACCCAGCCTGACTTTGTGTGGCATTTCTGTTCTGTTCTGTTTTAGATGGAACTGATCTGACTGCCGACAGGTCCCCGAAGCAGCCAGACCGTCTCCTCCAGTAGCAAGGCCCGGCGTCATCATGGCAGCGGGAGTAGCCGCGTGGTTGCCCTTTGCCAGGGCGGCTGCCATAGGATGGATGCCAGTGGCCAACTGTCCTATGCCGCTGGCTCCAGCTGAGAAAAACAAGAGGCAGGATGAGCTGATCATTCTCAACGTGAGCGGCAGGCGGTTCCAGACGTGGCGGACTACCCTGGAGAGGTACCCCGACACGCTCCTGGGCAGCACCGAGAAGGAGTTCTTCTTCAACGAAGACACTAAGGAGTACTTCTTTGACAGGGACCCTGAGGTCTTTAGGTGCATCTTAAATTTTTATAGGACTGGCAAGCTACACTACCCGAGGTATGAGTGCATCTCTGCTTATGATGAAGAACTTGCTTTTTATGGGATCCTCCCTGAAATCATTGGGGACTGCTGCTACGAAGAGTACAAAGACCGAAAGCGGGAAAACGCCGAGCGGCTGATGGATGACAACGACTCGGAAAACAACCAGGAAGGGTCCATGCCATCCCTGAGCTTCCGGCAGACCATGTGGCGAGCCTTCGAGAACCCCCACACCAGCACCTTAGCCTTAGTCTTTTACTACGTCACCGGTTTCTTTATTGCTGTCTCTGTGATCACTAATGTTGTGGAAACTGTCCCTTGCGGCACAGTGCCTGGAAACAAGGAGCTTCCATGTGGGGAGAGATACGCTGTGGCTTTCTTTTGCTTAGACACAGCTTGCGTGATGATTTTCACTGTTGAGTATCTGTTGAGACTCTTCGCGGCCCCAAGTCGCTACCGATTCATCAGAAGTGTCATGAGCATCATTGACGTGGTGGCCATAATGCCGTACTACATCGGCTTGGTGATGACCAACAACGAGGACGTCAGCGGAGCCTTTGTGACACTAAGGGTTTTTAGGGTTTTCAGGATTTTCAAGTTTTCTCGCCATTCCCAAGGCTTAAGAATCTTGGGCTACACTTTGAAGAGCTGTGCCTCCGAGCTTGGCTTTCTCCTCTTTTCCCTCACTATGGCAATCATCATCTTTGCAACTGTGATGTTTTATGCAGAGAAAGGATCCTCAGCTAGCAAATTCACCAGTATTCCTGCTTCCTTTTGGTACACTATTGTAACCATGACAACACTGGGGTGAGTAGTACTTTTTCTTTTACTGAGCAGCAGGCAAACATATCCTAGGCGCTTGGCTCTGGTTACTTTTCGAGGCTATGCATGTTTCTGGGTACATGTTCCAAAGGGACTGGAATTGTTATGGGCTTGATCCTTCTTTGCCTGACAACATCTGGAAATTCTGCGCATGCAAAGCTGTATAAAACACCAAATGCGTTTACACCCACTTGACAAATGCGTGGCGTAGAGGTAACGGATGCGGGAGGGCACGGGAGGCTGCGCAGTAGCAGGTCCTGTTGGCGCTCCGTCGCGGGGTGCAAAATGACACGGGTGCAGAGCAGCTGGCAACCGCAGCTGGGGTTTTTTGACATTCACTCAAGCCATAGATTTTACAGAACGTGACTGATGTGTACTTTGCCTCTTTTTGCAATGTTGGTCATTGTTTGCTTGACTGCTTGACATGCCCAGAATTAAGGGTTTGCTGAATCCAAACGGGTGCTGTGGGCAGCTATACTGAAACTATCCGGTGGTCTCCAGGATGCAAAGTGTTCTCACTTAATTGAGGAGGGTGTGGGGCTCTTGTCGGTGTTTCTTTGTGAGTTTATGAAACACTAAGAACATACTGTACCAGCTTCAGCAGCATTTCAAACACTCGTATGGACAGGTACGAAGGTAACGTACGTATACACAAAGCAAAGGAAACGTAGTCTAGAGGACGCATCTTTTTTTTTTCTTCTCTTATATTTCATTTCTGCTTTAGAGATGTTTCCACTGAGATTAAAGATTTGGATTTCTGTAGCTCTGAACTGAAACCTAAGAGAATGACCAAACCCTCACCCGGTTTGCCAGGCTGCGCAAGGGCAAGGCAGCTCCACACGGTGCTGCTTCAGGCCCTTGCAAAGTTACAGCCTGATGCTGAATTCCCTCGGAATAATATGCTACATTTATAGTCACTACAAACAGTTTTCCCACTGGAGAGTTCACAGTTTAATATTCAGTTTTAGACAGTTCTCATTCCTGTAGGACAGTGACCACTTTTGCTCTTAAGCTGCTTTTGATTTTAGACACTTCTCTGTGCCTGTTATGCCTGAAGAGGCCCACGGTAGCTCTTCCAAATTTCTGAAATCACAATTCAGCTGTCAGAGAGGCACAGAATGTAAAACGTTTGCCATAATAAGGTTTTTTCCTCCTGTTCCTCTCCCCATGGGGGGATGCCCCAAACTACAGCCCTGGCTCGCGGCCCCTCTCAGCAAGGATCACTTCTCTCCTCCCGTCGCTCCACGCGCACGTCCATCCCTCCCTGCTGTACATCCATGTACGTTAAGTGCTGCTTGGTGCTACATGGGAAAAATCTACTTCGTAAAACACGTAGCGCGTGCTGGAGCGCGAGTAAGTCTGCTCCCACCAGTGACTTGGGCTTTTGCTCTTTCTTTTCCTTTTTGAATACATGGAGAGACAAAACAGAGTGCTGTTGAGCACTTTAAAGTGTCCTCAATCTGTTGTAATCACAGAAATTACAGATGAATGAGTGCTTTAAATGGGTTGACAAAAATTTAAAAAATTAGACACTTGAATATGGCTTTGTAAGACTTTTAAATGGGTTGACAAAAATTTAAAAAATTAGACGCTTGAATATGGCTTTGTAAGACTTTGCTGGAAAGGGATCTACAAAATGCTATCAAAGCATTAAAGCTTAAACATCTAGTATTACTGCTCTGGCACTTTTTGGTGGAGGATTTTAATTAAAATAGGTGTCTTTAGCAAATAGTTTATTAGCTAAGATTGCGGTCCCATCACAGAGCTACAAGAAACTCCAGAATCTAGGTAACACCAGGCGCTGTAGAGAGGTGTACACGTTCCCGGACATCGGGCTACCTCTGGTCTCATCCATCAGGTGCTGGACGCTCTCTTGCACAAGCAGCAAAACCCAAACCCTCTCTGCTGGCTTCCAAACCCCATCTTGAAGGAGGAGCCACCGCTCCGAGCTTGGGAACCCAGTTCCCACCACACGAGCTCCACGTCCCCAGCCCCCTTCTCCCGACGGATTCTTTCCATTTTGGGAAATTTGTGTTTTCTCCAGAAACTTCACGGGCACCTCTCCTCCAGAGCCATTTAAACGTGCTTGGAGGATCTTGTTACTAATGACAGTGCTGGCAATTCTTGTCTCACAGATGCTGCCAAAAGTGCCGCCAAAATCCCTAACACTTCCTAGGACATCAGACCTGGCCTTTGTAGCAGTTGCCAATTAGCTGCTCGCATTTCAGCAGTGCTCAGAGCTTTTATAAATATCTTAAATGTTATCCCCTTATTTGTCTTTAAAAATCTAGGAAGAATTTAGAACAAGAGACTATGAAGTGCACTGGGGTTTAACTCAAATGTATACTTTTTTTTCCTTCTGAACACTGAATCCTTTAAGTTCAGATAACTACACGCTTTCCTCATACTGGCATTTCATAGTTTGTAGCAGACTGGTTTACAAAAGCGGTTTGAAGTATGTAGAATAACTTTTCCCATGATATTAATTCATTTAAGAGCTAGCCCAGAAAGCAGAGGAAGTTTCTAAGTCTACTGACAACCACAAAACACATCTAGCCTTAGGAAACATTATCAGATGTTCCAGCTGACTAGCATTAATAATAAAAAAATCTAAGCCAGACATTTGCTGGTGTAAATTAGACTAATTGAGCCAAGGCGGCGGTGGCTGCGCCAGGCGCCTCTGCCCTTGCTCCGGGTGCAGGAACGACGCGGAAGGTCGTCAAGAGGGTTCCCCTTCGCACAAAGACACAGGAACACAAAGGGAAATCCCTCACATCTCATACAGGGTGTTGTCTCCCTGGCCCTGAATGTCACTGTCAGGTTTTTCTGCCATCATCCCCAGGATCAGCATCACATTCCCAAGGGTGCATGAGCCCGGCCTTGCTGCATCAGGAGGAGGGCTGGACCTCGAAGCCCTGCTGCAGAGCGCTCCTGCTGCTCCCCAAGTCACTTATTCCAGATTCCTAAAGACACAATTGAATTTCTAGACCAACCCTTAGAGAAAAGCAATAAAAAACCATTTCCCGATGAAGACGAGGCACTGCATAAAATAGAGGAGTTGCTGCTTTTGGGGATCACTCCACAAACCAGGCACACGAGCTCCGGGAAAGCGCGATGGCTCCCGAGCTCTGTAGGCAGCCACCAGCACAAGGAGAAAGGTGCAGCAAGGAAATAAAGCCAAGGAATTGAATTAGACTGGCCCTGCAGCTCGGATCCTCTGCTGCGCGCATCAGCCTTGGTTTCACAGAGGCTGGTTTTAATTTAGCATGATTTGAATTTTGCTCAGGAGGTTTTATAATGAACGCATTATTCTTGGGTGCATCTTAAATCAATCTGAATTACAGAAACAACTATTCAAAATTAATTCAAAATCAGCTCTCCAATTCATGCAGAAACATTTTTCTCGAGGGGCCAGTGGCTACCCATGCTCTCTGTTGCCCTTCGGTAAAACACCAACAAATAAAGGGCAGTTCTGCCACCACCCCTGTCCTGTCCTGCACCGGCACCAGCCCCACGAGCTGGAATCTCCATGTCCTATTACCGAGCGCTTGGAGAGCAGGATTCTTTTTGCTCTTTCCATTTATCTTCATTCAAGCCAATACTCTGTGGCTCTGCAGGACGCGAGCGAGCGAGAGGGAGCTGACACTCGATCAACCATTTCTGACAGAAACATCATTATTTGTTATGTTTATTTCTGGGGCTTTCTTTTTTATTGCTATTCAATCATAGGGAAGAAATAGGATAAAATTTAAGTAGTGAAATAGCGTGTGAAATAGTGACTGCCAAGCAGTTGACAGCTGGTCCAGCACCGAGTTCCGAGAACTGACCACGTTTCCTGCAGGTGCTGCCAGCTCCCCCGCGAGCAGAGATTTCCCTTGCAGTTGTTTCGAGCAGAGATTTCCCTTGCAGTTGTTTCTCCAAGGGAAAGTCCTGAAGCCACTCGAGGCCGTGGAGCCTCCTGAGTGCTGGGACCTCAGCAACTGCCGTGAGACTGAGTCGGGAAAACGGCTGGAATAGGAATGCTGCTTTGCACATGGAGCACTGGCGAGGGAGGGACGGGTGAGGAGAGGGACGGCTCCAAAATCTCCTCCACAGTCAACAGTTCCAATATCCACAGGCCAAAGAATAGCTAGAATTTAATATACCAGAAGTCCAACCAAACAATGAATTGACGGAGCTCTACAAAGAAGCCAATTTTTTGAGTTTTCATTCTCTTGACTCCAGCTTCATCTTATGTGAATCGTGTATCAATTTTCTTCCTCTAATGGATTTACAGATCTTGTGTGCAAAGCGTCTTTGTATCAGAAGCTGCAGACAGAACCTTTCCCTTCCCCATCGTGACGTAAACCCGAGGCAGGCGTCTCATCTCTGAGCTATTTCTATTCACCAGAACCACAGAGGTATTAAAATACCCTTATTCATTCCTCAAACAAATAGAATTCACAAGTGGAATTTTTTTCCATCTTAAATATTTATCTGTCTTTAGGCTTTTTGCAGTTTGGGATATTCGCAATGACTGCACATATGTGCAAACACAACATTTCTAACAGGCAAGACAAAATAACTTTTCTTTAAACTAAATTTATTGTGTGAGGAATAAGTTATTTTGAATAAGGCCAAGGTACTGAATAAAAATATAATGTGACTTGTAAACTTACCAGCAGGACCTTCAGCAAAGCTGCATCTACAGCAACTGATTTAAGGAATTTTGTTATGCTTCTTTTCTTCTTTTCTGCTTGCTTCCTAACCTGCATCAGAGCAAGGGCCTGAAAAATGCAGATTAAAGATAACATTGTATTTCCACTGTAGATGAAGGGAAGAGATTGGCTTGCTGACTGGACCTGTGCTATTTTTAGTCTCATAAAATGATAATTTCATAACAGCACTGACCCAGTAAAGCGTAATTAGTTTACTGAGATCAGTAGCAAATAAGGGACACAGTAGCCCCTGTCAGTCCAAGGGCTGGGAAAGGGGAAGTGAAGTTA